TATATATATATATATATACATATATATATATATGGGCAAAATCAACTTTATTTTTTAGGGTGGGCAAAAAATTTAAGTATGAGAGAAGAAAAATTACGAATTTTTTTGAAAAAGTTTACAAATTTTACTGCTTATATAGAGAAATCTCAAATTCTAGGATGACAATTACCCACCCTGGATATGTAGGGTTCGATATATAATAAGCTAAATTGAATCTTCCTCGGAAAAAAAGAAGAGGGAGAGAGAGAGAGATTCTTTTTGTTTGGTTAAATTTGATTTAAGTTTGATATTTTAAACAACTATATAATATTTGATAGAAAAACGAATCCAATCTGTTAAGCATATGTAAAGTAATATTAATTAGGGATCTGCGTACGTATGACACGATATGTATTTACACATATTTGTCCAATTGTGGGGACAACGACATGGGTTCGTTCATCGTCTGCACATACGGTGCTAGACATAATATTTTTTTCCATTTGCTGCGGGGTCCATTCAACAAGTTGAGTCAGACATCCTAACCTGCAAACGCAACTTTCATGGGGGCAACTCATATGCATCGCTAGCCTGGTGTGGAACGAGGGAGCTGATCTCGCCAGCTCAACTATTTGACCCAAACCAACGATAGCTTCCAACTTACAAGAAACAACTCAAATGGTTGCCAATTACAAGCTCAACAAGTTCTCCAGATATACAGCACAATACCTAGACAGGCTACAAAATACATCATAACAACACACAAGCAAGAGGAATATCATATTGCCATATGCATTTAATAGTGCCAGACATATTTATGTATATACTTTACCTTGCTATACAATTTATGTTATTTTTTTCATGTATGTTTTAGACCAAGACACTTCACTTATGTATAAAAATAGAGGGGAGAGGGGAGAGGATCAATCGTCGAGGAGGAGGACATTTAGAGCAAAGCATAACACTTCCAAGGCATAAATACATCTTTTACTATTTCAAAATTTCTAGACTTCCTTTCATAATTTTTACATCATATAGTATGTTATAAACATAATGATGAATTGATATAACATCATAATTTTTTAATTTTTTTTCCAAGAGAATGCACAATATTTCATAAACAATATTATTATCTAAATGATTCATGATTTTATGATTAGTATTATTCATGATTTTTTATATTTTCTCTTATTTTTGTTATAAAATAATTTGACATTTTGATGCCGACTGATATGCATGCTAACATTTTGATATCATGAAAAGATGGTTTGATTGATGATTATGAATTTATTGTGTGTAATGACAATAATTCAAATAGTTGATAGTTGGAAGCCAAAATAAGTGCGGATGAAAAGTTATAAGTTTGTTATAAAGAACTCATAATAAAGCCATTCAAAAAGCAAAAAATATAAATAATACTATTACCAAGGAGAGAAAATGATAAAACGATTAAGTTATACTATAATGGCCAATAGTTCCAATTTGCTTAGTTTGATGAAAAAAGAATTAAATTAAATGGACAACAAAAGAAACTTATATAT